TTTTTTTTTTTTTTACACTGAATATCTTTGAGGTGTGGATAAAACAAGACATTTTAGGACATCCTCTTGGGCTCTGGGAAACGCACATCGGCATTTTCCACCATGTTCTGGAATCTTATAGATCAACAATTAATGGATCAATTGAGGAAATGGACAGATTGATCTTGTCAGTGAAAATAATTGTTAGTTGCAGCCCTATTATCAAGCATAGTAGACATGACATACGCAATGGGGCCATTGGATGTAGCTGTAGACCTTAAAATGTCTGCAGGTTTCATGAAAGCACAATGCCATAATAAATGAGCAGCCACTAGCCTTTGGTTATTATGATTAAGTGTGAAAATGGGATTCTGATCTTTAACAATGTTAATGTTAAGCAAAAGTGTATACATTCAGATATTTGAGAGTTGAATGCATTGAATGGCTTCTGTGCCTTTTTTCTTAAGTCTGCATTTTTTAGTAGAGACATTGTTTGACTGCAGGGCACATTAACTCTATAAGCAACTGTTCTGTTTTACAGTTGTCATGTGCTTGATCTGTATGTTTACAAAAAATGTGACCACAAGCTGAAACTAACAGGCACATGACACAGTGCTGATGGCTGACATGTTGCTAGTTTTTAGCTGAACTTGATTAAAAGTTAAAGCTGGCTTTGTATTTTGTATGTCCTCTTTATTTTAGCTACAATTCCCAACAAGGGGACCCATCCCATCTAGATGCCTTTCAAGCAGAGAATGAGAGATGTGAAGTCCTGTGTGTGAATCTGACGTTAAAGCGGGTTAAGTTGCACCTTTTTGAAGTAGTGGGACAGATTAGTGGTAAACGGTTCCATAGATTTGGTGACCATGAGCATATGCACAGCAGGTGTCAACTCCAGCCACACCCTTTATTCAGAAATATTGGAATAGCAGTCACAAGAGTCAAGTTTCCCCATAAGGAATAAAGCATCACAATAAGTGTCATTATCTCTTACGTATTGTGTACCTTGTTTTTTCCTCTTGCAGAGCCGCACATCTTGCTGTTCCGGCGCCCTCTTCCCAGCCAGAAGTCATAAGGCAGAGATCCTCTGGGTCCTTGGAAGATCAGTCCTACCTATGTGCCACAGATCAACTCATCAAACTAGGAATCATACCATCAGGTTACCAAACTCTTGTGTGGTAGGTGACTTGTGATTTGGACTGATCATGTTGGACCTGGAGAAGGACTATCACATCTATGAACAGTGGTTGTAGAATAGAGTATGCGTTGAAGGAAAAAAAAAATCATCACCCTTCTCTTAGGGAAAAGACTTCCTCATGTGCTAACAGCGACACGCCGTCTGCCGGAAAACCTTCAAATGAGCTTACACTGTCTTTTTTGACTGATCTGTCCAACTTGCTGAACCTGCTTGGATATTCCAGCTTTTTAGAACAATTGTTATAAGATATGGAGAGTGAAACTTGTCAAAACATTTTGAGTCATTCTAACAGTGTGTTCTGGGTCAGATCACACACCAGACAGAACAGTTGAATCGTAAAATTAAGTTTGACTCTGAAACATCAACGTGGTTTTAAGTGACATGTTGCTGCTTGGTTTAAATGACACTGTAAATTGGCATTTAACACTTTTTGTCATGTGCATGAAAAGCCACATCTGTTAGAGTCACTTTAGAAAATAGATTTGATCCCTTTCCCCACACGAGCATATTTCTCTTAGTGTTGGCCTGCTTTAGAACATTTTGATGGCTCTGGTTGCACCAGTGAGCTGCTCAGGATTTATAAATGTGTTGCCCTTTCTGAAATAAATGTAAACTTTTAAATCTAGTGTGGACTCTGGCAATGTTTTGGCAGCATTTGCTACTTTAGGATTATATGGAGCCACATGAAAATTGAAAAAAATGAATAAATAAATAAATAAAAATGAGTTGGGTGATGGCAGACAGAC